TCCCATTGCGCCTTCCTTCCTCGGCGGCTACCAAGTCGCCAAAACAGCGCCCCCTCCAGCTGACATCGCACCCTGGACTGCATGTTCTGAGTTCCCCTCGACGACAAGAGAAAGAAAGGAGAAGAAGAAAGAGCTCCTCCTCCAGCGCTGTTCAATACTCGAAGCCGCAGTACCTAGACTTGCGCAAACTCTCTTTCCGCCCCGCACATATCTCGAAGAGAGTGGCGACTTCCCAGCTCTCGGCGCTCCTGACTTTGAAGGGCCTGCTGTGGACGCCGCGAAGTCTAAATCGGCCTCAACCACGTATCCGAGTCCCGTACTTGAGCACAGGCGGTTCGCAGAAACAAGACACACGTGAAGACGACTGCTGGTTCTCAACTTTCTCCGAAAGCCTCCTCCCATCGAAGTCCCGTCAACGTTATTCCCACAGAATATATAGAACTTTGCTCTCTGGGCCACCGCGAAGCACCCCCGATATCTCGTTCAACATTTTTCCCACTCTGGAGCAACGTAGCTGAACCACGGACGCTCGCGTTGTCTACCAAAGACGCTTCTGCCTTTTCAGATCTGATCACACAAATCTTTCATCAAACAACCTCGTAACGGATTACACCCCGGCAGCAGCCCGACTATCTCCCATAGAGGACACTAGCCACCATCACGACGCCTCCATGAGCTACCATCAACTAGGTGGTGCTCAATTTGGGTATCAACATCCCAACCTCGCTGCTCCCCCAGAAGAAGCTAGGTATGTGCTAGGTTCCGAGTCTTTCTCCCATAATTCAAAGGCATCAACAGCCTCAATGGCCCATTGCCTCCACCTGATCATTCAGAGGGTGTGCTAACCAAGTAATTCCAATAGTGAGGATGAGCACAAGCTTATTATCCGACAGCAACCAGCTCATGCCAAGATGGCGCAAGGCAAGGAGAAAGGTACGACTCAAATTGCCAATTGACAATGGACTTGAATTGACTTGGAACAGATCGAAAACCCGTGGACCCACCCCCGATCTTGCAGCTGAAGGTCAGCCAGCGCAAAGATCCTCAGCAAAATTTCCTCCAGAGTCAGTGAATTATCTCCAATCATTTGATTTGTATCCTGCTAACATAGATGCGCCCAGGCCCGTACTACTTCATGTCTTGCTCTTTAGTCAAAGCTAGGCCTGATGACAATAGCGAGCTACCTCCAAATGCCCTGGTGGGAACATTGGTATCGTCGCTGCATCGTCTCAAAGACTCTGACAATGCAGATGGAGGCTTCTTCGTCTTTGGAGACTTGTCAGTCAAGCGAGATGGGATTTTTCGACTGATGTTTACGCTCTACAAGATGGCGGACCGAGAGTGTCTACATATCGCTTCAGTCACATCTGACCCTTTCACCGTACACACAGCCAAGACGTTTCCAGGCATGGCTGAGTCGACGTTTTTGACGAGATCGTTTAGTGATCAAGGGGTTCGCCTCCGATTACGCAAGGACTCGCGCAGTATCACCACACGAAAGCGCAATAATGCTGCGGCGGACTATGCCCGACATCACTCGGTTCATGATCAGCAATCGCAATCTCGTGATCGTCGAACTAATAGCCTCCCTGAAAGCGAGACTGTCACACCGGTCGACCGCACTCGAGCCTCTACAGCAACACAAGGAGGTGCGTTCTTCGAAGGGGGTGGGCAGCAATCTGGGGACTACCATCGTGGATCGGGGGTCAATTACAACTCTGGGTATGATTTCGATGACGCTCCTTCTGCCAAGCGTCAACGAGTGGTATCAGACGAGCCAAGTCGGGCTTATGGGCAAGACTTCACCAGTGTCCCATACTCATCCCGCTCTATCCCTCAGGTAACCTCATCGATAGGTACTTACTCAGCACCTATGACGATGGCACCAACTCTTACCCCTTCATTGCCTTATTCGTCGCATATGGGCATGCCTCGTCTCGACACGCAATTAAACTCTTTGTCTGGTGGTCCAAACTCTGCTGGAGCAAACTTTCAATCGCCGCGGCAGTCTCCAGGGGGAGGCTATCCGTATCCCCATGCTCCGCCGCTCCATAACACCTCCAGCATGATGTTTCAGGGCGGTCCGACTTCAGGAGCTCCAGCATACTTAAGCAGCCCTCATGGCGAATACCAAAGTCCTGCTCGACCGGGGCCCCAATATTCGGGTGCTGCGGCTGATGTGAGCCCTCGATCTCATCCCCATACTTACGGCCAGCCAACGTCAAGCGCCGGTACGAGCCCTCCTGATGCTAATTATACTACATCGACAGGGCCTGGGCCTCTCCCCGCTTACCCCGGTGCCTACAGCTCACCGCTGAGCCTTACCGAGGGCCATCTACGTGGGCATGGTCAAGCACATAGCCATCTTGACCATATGGGCCCACTAAGATTGAATGGTAATTCTGCCACTAATCATGTTGGGGGTCTCAATCACTCGGGTTTGTTTCCGTTAGATGACGATAGTGAGAAACACAGCCATGGTCCTGGCGCATAGGAAAGGCCTCCCGTGGCCTTAATCACTTCGCACGACGGCAACGACCACGCTTCATCGGTAGGCGGCCTACAGACGCCGCCTCAGCATTAAATTCTGGAGAAGGCGGCTCAACTTTTGCTTCAACTTTGGATGGCTTTTTCAAAATATTCCTTTACTAAATGCGTCGAAACTGGGTGATACATACAGACCCCCGGTGGACAAAACTTCCATTCAGCATGCAGCATCATTCAACAACAAACGCATTATCATCGACCTGGATAATATAGTGCTTTAGGGAGGTCGGGTCCATTTCATGTTCTACGAAGCAAGGTGTATGGTTGTGGCGTGAATCGAAGGTGGGCGGCTTACACTTCATGAAAGGAATTGGGAAGACAAAAAATTTCTCCTCACCGTAAGATACCCCGTGGGAATGGCCTGGTCACTTTGAGCCGGGTGCTCTTTCATTTTATCCGTCTGTTTGCTTGTTTTACCATTTTCTTTGCTTCCTTCTTCAGTCACGTTAGAGCTGTCTTGTTACACAAACACTGTTGTTTGATTTTTGGGGAGGATTGTGCATTGGGCAGATTGGCAATAGTTGGGTCACGAAATACAGAATTGACGAGGGTTGGGATGCAGAGAAAAGCTTGTTCAATTGCTCGAGCTGACAACACAATGGCATGGGAGCCATCGAAACTGCTGAGGCAACTCGATTATCACTAGCAAAACATCAATTGGAGGTTCGAGTTGGAAGTATAACGACCATGAAAGACAAGACAGAAGCACATAGATACATTGATACCAATGCAGACCGCGTTTACCCACTCTAGACGATATTGTGAAATACAGGAGCTATACACGAAGCCATGTCTTTCTAAGGATGTCTATCAATTGCTGAAAGAAGTTAGTAGCAAACCCCGGAAGCCGTTTCCTTGTTCAGCCGCGGAGCCCATGCCCAGATGTGGCGCCTAAGGAGGCTCCGACTTCCCGTGTATCGTGTTTCAGATCTGGAGTGGGGCCGGCGGGCTTGTCCTTGCGAGGATATCTGCCGGATCTTGTGTCACTGCAGCTGAATCCTGGAATGGACTAGCATACCTGAAAGGGTTTTGGAGGCATGGCTCTTTTTGAGGATTGCCGCAATTGCCTTGATCCATGGGGGTTGAAGGGCAATTGATGAAACATGTGCGGCAATTCTAAAGGTTGGCAGGCCAGGAATTTCGTGCCCCAATCACGGAGCGCAGTTTAGACCAATTTACACCAATTTACACTGAAGGCTTTGGAGGCTCACATAGTTACCTGGATCGTTTCTTCAGGACACTTTAGCGCAGTCACGGCCGACCATTTCGTCTCCAACAGAATGGCGCGGGGAGTCTCGGATCTCGACGAGGATATACTTAAATCCATGGTAAGCACTGCTCTTGCGGCACCGCCAAGGTCATGCCAGCAAAAGTCACGGCTGAGCGCAATCGTCGCCCATAGCTTATTCCTTGAGCACCACTAAAGCTAAGAAATAACACGAGAAAATTAACTTCACTGGAAACTCTGGCTTGGCAGATCTGCTACTATTGGGGATAGATGACCTCACCGAGAGGATAACAAGATATGTCTCAAATAGAATGTTTCCATGGTTCGTGTGCTCAACGTAGAAGGCCTCAACACGCTCACCGAGACTGCGCCGTGTGCAAAAAGTTGACATCATTAGTCGATGTAGACCCGCTAGAAAGCATTAGCTGAAACAGTTACCAATAGGACTCTTTACCTGGCTTGACAGCTGTCAACCTGTCATAGAACGAACCTTGTGCAAGAATGTAAGGTAGAAATACTTTGCTTCTGAATAGGAGGCGCAATCCGTCGCCTGTGCCTGACTCGTTACATGTATGCTGACAACAGCTCGAGGCTCATTGATCCGGATTGACGTCCGGCTACCATTGTTACATAATAAAGGATCTGGTTCGAGCACCGGGAAAGGCGTGCGGATAACCAGGTAGCGTTCTGGTGAGGCACGAACTCAAACCTGCTAAGCCATCGACGCAGATTTGGAAAGCCATCTACGTCCGTGGTTTGTCCCACGCCGGGCTGGCATTTCTCGAATCACACTGCCGTATGCCAAAAGTCAAAGCTTATAAATAACGCATTGCTGCCAGTTCTAACGCCGAAAATAAACGTCTGCCAAGTCTGCTTAATAAAGTATCATTTGAGAACCCTGTTGAGAACGTAAGCAAGGTTTGCTCGTCGTCGTTGGGCATGCGCTCACTTGCCTGTTCTGAGTTCTATCGAGGACCAACGTTACATTTGGACAAAGGATGGTAGCAAAGTTATCAAGGTTATTTCAAGTCCAGTGTAAAATAACTTGTAACTGTTAGCTAACTAAATATCATCCATGCCGCCTAGTATGTAATGATCCTTACTCAATAGGAGACTAAATATACATTTTGCGGCTGATTTGAACGGGCATGATACAGTACAAAGGAATTAATAGGCTCTCAATGATTTACGCCGGTTGGCTTCACCAATATTATCCTCCCTTAGCTTAAGGCTGACAGTCTTTGGGGTCAGCTCCAATCTGCCTCCAACCTTTCCTAATATCGAGGTCAAGTTTCCCATCAGTACCTGGTAACAGAACGTCGCTCCCATCGTTATCCATGGAGTATACGACATAGCGAGATATTCCCAAGGTCAATTTGATTGCACCTTCGATGAACAATCTCGGCTTGTAGGTCCTGTAGGGCTTGCGGCCCTCTGTCACGGCGAGTACGTTGGCCACCATAATGAATGCCTGGAAGAAACTAGCGCGAGCCATCATGGGACCGCCATGCTCGGCAACATCGCCGATTGCGAAGATAGGCGAGGAGATCTTCTTCTCGCCAGGATTTGATACCTGAAGAGTAGGCTCGACTAGGATGCGGGAGTTGGTAGATGAAATAGATGCCGGAAGAAACGAGGACAGCATAGAAGAGTTTGGTATTTGTCCTGTACAAGGGATCTAGAAATTTGCACTTAATGGTTGCAAGAGAATTGATGTCTGAATTGCCACTTACAACAAGGTCAAATAACTCTTCACGACCGTCGGCGAACGTAAGTACGACATTCTTACCCATGACACCGCCAGGAATGACGGGGCGCTCATTCAAAATAACACGAACTCCGAGCTCTTCGAGCACCGGCAGTACCGCATCGTGAAGACGTTTTGGAAAGCGGTTCATGACTTGGCCTCGCGAATGGATAAGCGTGACCTTTTTGTCGGGATAGAAGTCTTTGATATCTGATGCCAGCTCTACTCCGACGGCTCCAGCCCCTATAACTGCAATGCTTGTTGACTCTTTGATTTGTTGCTGCACTGCGCGAAACTCTGCGCAGCCCTCCTCTCGATCCGTCGAAACGACTTTCGCCGGAGGAGGCTGCAAAGCCCCAGTTGCGAGGACCAGCACTTCGAAATCAATCGTCTCGCCCGAAGACAGGTGAACGAGACCATCGGATACGCTTGTGACGGTGCTGCGGATTTGTGTGAAGATGCCGTCCGGCGCATTCTTTGTAACGAGGTTGTCAAATGGAACAAAAGCTGTCCTCTCATGGCCCTGGACAACCGAGAACCGCGGGAAGTGGAAAAGGTAGTTGAAATGAGAGTTCTTCTCAATGAGAACGAGACGAAAGCCGGTTGGGAGCGTCTCTGCGAGGCGTTTCGCTACCTCCAGACCGGCGAATGAACCTCCTACAACAACCACATTCTTCGCGTCATCCACGACCTTATAAGTCCAGCGGTGGTGTATTGACCTGAGATATTGGCCAAGGAGCTGGACCCCGAGGGGAATGAAGATGGAAATGGCTTTCGTGATGAGTCTCAGCTGATCGTGAGCCATGATTGCAACTGATGAGCAATGGCAACTATTACGGGTGAGCAAGAATTGGTAGATCCGCGAAGTATGCACTTCAAAGTCATCGATGTACCAGAACTAGAATTTCACATTTTTTATCGACCAGAAGCGCGCTGTGGCCGCTCAAACCCGTAACAAAAGCCGACCGCGGAGTCTCCGTTCGCTCCGGCACGGAGATGACGGCCTTCACAGTCGGCGCCGACTAACAAAGCCCGCTGATCCTGTCTTACACGCGTCGGATTGCCAGCTAGGGTTGCCTTGAGAGCAATTGAACAGCAGACTACTTTGAAAATTTATGTAAGCATATGGGGATATTCAAGAATAGACATGTGAGATAATGAGCATAGTAATCGACATAATGAGTGCAGGCACCTTTTTGTCGTCACCGGGCGTCCTGTGACGAGCAACCGCATCTAATGCTGCAGCCTATCGTGGACTTAGTGAGCCGAGAGCGAATAAAACCGTCTACGCACTGTTAAAAACTCATAATAACCACGAGACTCGCACGATATACGGCTGTGAAGTACCTTGTCGGCCAGGACCGGCATTTGTTCGTACTGATCATCAGATAAGATAAGTGATTGTCACCTTATTTTAGAGAGGATAATAGATGTTGAGCTACATTAGCCGCGCATGAGGCTAGAGTCAATCGGAATAGTTCGACCTAAATCCTTGGAACATACCATCATGTCGGCGATTAGGGATTTGTGAAATTGGTCGGGATGGTGTTCCAATATATCTTTCTTGTGCAACCGCGGACTCTCCGCTGCTAGCTAGCCGGAAGCCCACTTTTTCCACACCATTCACTTCTTTCTACGAATCTCTCATTTGGAAGGAGACTGAAACTGGCTCCTTTTTTTACATGGACTCAGGCGCGTTCATATGCAGGCTCAGTTAAGGTGTCGTCCTTCGGAGTTGTTATTTCACCCTCCGCGGCCCCATCCATATAGACCCAACCAGTACCAGATGACTTTCATTTCAATTTGCTGTTCCCTCTTTGAAAATTTGCATATCAATATCAACTGGCTCCTCAGATACTTGTCCTTCCGTTGTCTGCTTGCGTCAAGGCGTATGATGAGATCGACGATTCAACATTATCAAGTGGCATTATTTGACAGCACACGCATAATCGTCGAACAGATATTTAGGGTTCTACCATGTCCAGCATAGACGATAAAATGTCTACGAAAGGCTCTCAGTCTAACCAAACGAGCGATGGCAATGATGTTGAGCTCGGAGATCCAGTTTCGAAAGAGGAAATCTCTCGAGACCCTAACATTGTGGACTGGGATGGCCCTGACGATCCTGAAAATCCGTTGAACTGGCCTACCTCAAAGAAGCTCTCAACTTTGTCGATGGTATCTATAATAACATTTCTCTCGTGGGCGCGCCAATCAGCAGTGATGCTTTTTGTACGGGTAACCTGACATGAGTATAGACCCCTTGCATCTACGATTATCGCACCAGGCACAGAGTATTTCATGCGAGAATTCCATTCTACGAGTGAAACTCTAGCCTCATTTGCAACATCAGTCCAGCTTGTAGGATATGCATTTGGGCCACTCGCAATTGCACCCCTGTCGGAGCTTTATGGCAGGAACCTCTTATATCATTCTTGCAACATTATTTTCCTCGTATTCAACATCGCCTGCGCGGTGTCTCAAAATCTTCCCAGTCTCATTGTATTCCGTTTCTTTGCGGGAATCGGGGCTTCATGTCCCGTGACCATTGGTGCCGGTTCAATCGCGGACATGATTCCGCATGAAAGACGCGGACTTGCGATGGCATCGTGGATCATCGGACCATTATTGGGTCCCACAATCGGACCTATAGGTAGGCTACTTCTGTCGATTAGAGGAGTTTGAGAAATTTGAGCTAAACAAGGGCAGCTGGTGGCTACTTGGCTCAGTCTAAAGGGTGGCGTTGGAATTTCTGGCTTCTCACGATCTTAGTAAGTACATGAAAGTGGACAAGGCCGATTACTCTAACTATATGATAGGCCGGCGCCACTACTTTGATGTCATTCATTGCTCTACATGAGTCTTATAGCTACGTTCTCCTCCAAAGGAAGACAAAGAAATTGAGAAAGGAGACGGGTAATCAAAACCTTCGATCTGTGCTCGACACTCATAGGAGCCCAAAACACCTTTTCGCCCTTGCCATCGTCCGTCCACTGAAGATGCTCTTCCTCTCGCCGATCGTATTTATTCTTTCCCTATACATGGCTACAATCTATGGCTACTTGTATCTTCTGTTCACGACTTTTCCTCGAGTTTTCGAAGATCAATATGGGTTTTCTAAGGGCAGTTCTGGACTTGCGTATCTCGGCGTCGGTGTTGGGTCGTTACTGGGTATATTTCTCTGCGGAGCTATATCAGATCGACTGGTGAAGAGGCTCATGGACCGCAATGGAGGCGTGGCCAAACCTGAATACCGTCTCCCTGTTTTGATACTGGGAGCTTTGCTCGTGCCCGCTGGGCTTCTCTGGTACGCTTGGACAGCAGAACATAAAGATCACTACATTCTGCCCATCATCGGGACTGCATTTTTTGGCGGCGGGATGGTAGTTGCCTTTGTAAGTTTTTGTCAATCGTCCCCCTTATGCAGTCGCTAATCATGGATCAGATGGGATGCTCGACATATGTGGTTGATGCTTATACAACTTATGCCGCGTCTGCCACTGCAGCCAGCACCGTCTTTCGCTCTGTTCTTGGGGCTCTTTTGCCACTCGCGGGCAACAGCATGTATAATGCGCTTGGAATTGGTTGGGGCACATCGTTACTTGGTTTCATCGCGATAGCGTTTCTCCCACTCCCGTTCATCTTCCTCAAGTTTGGGCAAAGAAATAGGGAGAGCAAGACCTTCCAAGTGCAACTCTAGAGCTTGCGACATCGTGTAACTCACCGAGGTGCCTCAGAGATATCTGTCTCCGAATATTTGAGGACATATTTCGGTGGATACAAAGCGTTTTCTCACCAGTCTTAAGAGATCTTTCATTTCTTGTTTGGGAATTGGTGTTGAAACCCGGAAAACTCTCAACTTTTTTCTTTCTAAGTCATTACTCTATTCTATTTTTCTTTGTCGTTGAGGTCTTTATGCTTGGACAAAATTACAGATATTTTTTAATACAAGTGCGATGGGTGAATGGTGAGACCAAATGATGAATTGTGCGTCTATAATAGATGAATAGCGCAACAGCAGCAGGGCATTGTCAGTCTTGAAGAGCCATTTGATGAATGATAGTGATCTGTGTATAGTCGTCAGCATATTGAGTAGACGTGGTCAAATAGCACGCGAAACCTCCCTCTCCTTGGCGTGTCTCCTCCGATGTGAGAGTTCTCTCTTGTCACGATCGAGAACGACGGTCCTCACGTTATTATTGAGTCACCTAGACTATCCGAAAGTCGATAATATGTCTGTTTGGACTCTCGGATAGCGCCTCTCCGTGCATGTAATTCTGAACTAATGATTCTCTAGAGATGTTCATATTAGATGAAAGGCATGAGTTACCATGTGATTGATGAGCTTACCCGATGAATTGCCATCTTCCTTCCACTGCACGCCCAGCATCGCCGGAGTTTTCCCTCAGCACGTAAGGAACCGTGCCTCCAAGTAAAACACATATAGTGTCGCCCACTTGCGCATTGTCAGGGACAATTCCGAAATACTTGCCGCCCTCAGCAAGAAAGATCAAACGAAATCTGAAGACGTTCCCACGCCTCCAGGCGTATTCTGCATCAACTTCTTTCGGAACAGGCTCAGGACAACCTTCCTCTTTCCATTTCCACGCTGCCGGCATCCGGTATGGATCGAACCTTACCCGCCGTCGAGCGAAACCAAAAGGGTCAAAGTTGCATACAGTCATTAGTTCGAAGTCTGACTGGTATGGTGAGCCCGTGAGAAGAAGTTGAGGAATCCCGGCAGCTACCGCCTTTCCACGGACAAGTACATAGTTAAGGTACCCTGAAGAGCCCTCTGTGCTCTTACTGAAACCCAGTACACTGGGATCAATGAGCTTGTCAATCCTTGTTAGAAAGACCCCAGGCAGTACCAACTCATTTGTGAGAAGCCTTTTCATATCATCCTTGATGTGGAACTTAGGGCCAAAAGTCGAAGAAAGAATCCGGTCGCGTAGTTGAGGTGACCATTTGTGTGGTGCAGAGGCATTGGAAATCGGCTCAGTATGTCCCATTGGCACTGCCGAGAGATACCAGTCGTTTCTAGGCTGTTTTCGTAAATCTGGGGCCCACGTCGGAAGATGCAAGTCTTGCGCAGGACGTCCCGCGCAGCTGAGGAGGAACAGACCCTCTGAGAGGAAACACGCCATGCCAGCCGCGATGTAGGTGTCCTCCAGTGACATTGAATAATCCGCGTAGAGGGGAATTTCTTGAGTTGGTCGCAGCCCTAGAAACGCAAATACTTTGTCCCGCTGATCAGCGGCGTGGCGAGCCAGCCCATATAAGAGGAATTGAGAGAACGATAGACCGTCTTCAGGAGCTGATACCCACTCCGTTCGACTGACGTCTCTTGAAATGGCCTGTCGATAGCCGAAACTAATAGCAATGTTTCTGAAATTTGTTATTGCTCCCTGTCTCATGGCCCAGTAGCTTCCCACATGCAACGTCATGAATATTTTTTCAAAAATATCCCAAGACTTCCGAAAGCTGCCGCACATAATGGCGCAATGACGTGACAAGATAACCTCCTGATAGGTCCAAGCCCGTGAGAACCATTTACGGCCGAGAAATCGAGACAGCGCAGCAATCTCCAGGGAATCGCCAGGAGGTAGTAAGTTCTGAACTTCTTTGACTGACTTCAGATAATTCTCGAAATCGATATTGGTTTCAGATGGCCGGTCAAATAGGGAGACACAGGCCGAATGCTGGGCAGCGATCTGTTCTATGGCATGCCAAACCTTTTCTGTATCCCCGTCGGCCGTACCCAACCACACAAGTACGCAGCTCGCCTTGTTGTAAATCTGGTCCATTATGCGCACCTGGTTATTTCGCTCCTGTAGATTGTTCTGATTGATGCAAATTGCATCAATCCACAACTCGCGCTTGACGGACTGACGGCGTAGTTCCCGTAAGGCACCCGCTAAGTTGGCCTTGATCTCAACTTCCACGCCATTAATTTGGGCAGACTCTCGCGCGTCGTCTGGTAAATCGCTATCCCAAGTGTAAGACAAGGCATCGTATTCCGTCGAAGCAGACAAAAGCACAGTCCGCAGGCCAAGATGGATGGGACCATTCTCTTCACCATGCACAACTTCCAAAAGGCGTATCTGATCGGTACCTAAGACATCTGGGTACAGAAACATTTCCTCACAAGAACAAGCACTTCAACTTATGTTACACGCAAGGTTCGTTTGACAGAATTGGAAGGAACCAACTTGTATGTTTGAGAACTTCAGAATCCAAGGCTGCGGTTGCTGGCTTCTTAGTCCAAGGAAGAACTTCAGGTCTCTCACGTGATGCAGCTGAAAGACGCCGCCGAGGCAGGCGACGTGACTAGACTATCAAACAGGAGGCCTGGCTTCTTTTGTAGCGATGGGCAGGTGATCACGGTCGATTGGACGCCCACGCTCTGGTGTCCCCCGCCTCAGTGAGGCTTTCTACATCATCTCCCACTGGACCTTTATTGAGGCAGATGGAAGACAGCTGGAAACCCCGCTCTCACACGACTGCCTGATTCCCGAAATGAACACCAATGGTTTCTTCAGACTCACTTGATCATCTTTATACCTTGAGCACAGTGCCTAAAAGATTCAAGAGACAATATGCCTAGACCTTAATATCTACATGGCTCTCGTCAAGAGTGATATGTTAAACATAACAATTACGGCTACCTCCATGTAGGGGAGCCTTCCTGGCTCATTAGTCTCGCTTTCTGCGTCGCCGGCTTGTCGGTTCGACAAGCTCCATACTCGAGTTCCTATATTAAAACAAAACAAGCTCTCATGCCATGAAAAGATTTGATGATTATTGGTCGGTAAAAGACTCAAGCACTCTGTGCCAGTGATTGGGAAAACGAACTTGTATCAGACGGTCATGATATTCAATGCCAATTGATTGTGAATCTAAAAGAAGTACGTACGTTTGCACCATCTAGTTTCGAAAACATCAATTTTCAGTTCATAGAGGTGGTTTCTTGCGGACTGAATATTTGAACGAAATACAGGTGAAATCAGCAAGGAGTGTTACAATTTCTCGCCTTGCCGCTGAAACAAGTTAGTATCCGACATACGAATGGAGTGTCGCAACAATTTTTTTCGGAAGCCTTGAACTATCTCACCATGATTAGCTTGATCCTTTGCCGCCATCGCGCCGGGTCGTATATTCCTACAGGGTCCACTCTACCGCGACTAGCCATGCTTATCCAATAAGACTCAATCGAAGGTGAGATATCAACCCCTATCGGGAACGCAATCGTTAGCATAACAAGGATTGAAATACTTAATCACAGGGATCAGGTACCTGATAAGAACGCGGAAATTATGTAGAATGTTGAGGCCCCATCATCTGATCGGGAAGTAGCAACACCCAGAGACGGAGTCCTAATCCCTTTGACAGGTTAACGCTTATCATTCTGTTATGTCTGGTCAATTTGAAGTGATATTTAAGCACCATGCGCTTGCTCAATCTTCCTTTTCACACCTCCTACATTGTTATATTGAGAGCTTCGTACCTCTCGAGGTATGGTATCTAACACTCCTGTATATTGACAAATGCTTTATCTCGTCATGTATCTCGCCTGAGGTTCCTGCATCCGAAGACCGAAACAACGATGGAGCCGGAAGTAGCGGATTTTATCCCTTCTAAGGGGCACTCGCTGCCAATGGCGGCGCAGGCGGAAAAAACAGAGATCTTCTCCTCCGACGAATCGACTGCGCAGGATACCGTGGAGATTGGGGACGTGGAGCATTGGAAGCCAGATCGTCGCTTATGGGCTGTCGTTGGTTCACTCACCTTCTTGAATGTGGTTGGCGGACTGGAAAACACCATCACCGTTGTGGCCTTGCCTTTCATCGTGGCCGATATCGATGGGGGAAGCGATTTTGTTTGGTAAGTGACTTCCGGATGGCATCATTTCGCCTGCATTGGGTGCGCCATTAGACTCCTGGGTCAAAGTCAACCCAGAGGTAGAATGTTGCCCCTCACTGTCCCAAATACAGATATATTGACTACAATTAACACAGGGTGTCAGACATACAATTCTTGACTGGGTACGTCATGATGTAGTGCAACTATTCACTCAGAGATCTGGCTGATGAGTTGTCGTAAAGGGCTGCGATCCTACCATTCCTAGGCCAACTAGCCAATATATTCGGTCGACGATACTGCACACTAGGCATCGTTCTCATTTATACTCTCGGCAGCGGACTCTGCGCTGGAGCCCAGAACATGGTTAGTCCTGATGCAGAGAATATTATCCGTTTAGAACGACTCAAAGTAGGGTCCTGAAACTGACTCGACTTCACAGAGCATGCTACTAGCCGGACGAGCAATTCAGGGCGCGGGCACACAAGGAACACTTATGATGACAGAGATTATTATTGCGGACCTTGTGCCGGTACGATGGCGAGCTAGCTACACATCAATCATCATGGCCGGAGGCGGTATAGCCTCTTTAGCCGGCCCAGCACTCGGAGGTGTGATCTGTCAGTATACAACATGGAGATGGGTAAGACAATTTCTATTATATATGCTCCGATGAAGGTATATCACTGATGCGCCGAAAAGATATTCTACCTGAATCTACCAATCTGTGGCGTCGCTCTAGCCCTTCTGTTTATCTACCTCCGTGTCAAGTGGAATAGGGACGAGACCATAACCGCCAAGCTACAACGAATCGATTGGATAGGTAATTTTATCGTGTTAGCATCATCCATCATAGCCCTTTTGGCTCTTATTTGGGCTGGCGCAGTCCATCCTTGGAGCTCTCCTCAGGTCCTAGTACCCCTGATTTTGGGATTACTTGGGCTGGTTGCTTTCGGCTTTTATGAGGCCATGGCTCCCATCAAGGAGCCTGTTCTCCCGGTCCACATCCTACGTTCGCCAACGCCAATCATCATCTTCGTTATGACATTCTTTTTCAACATGAGCCTTTACTATGTCAGTTTTTACATGACGGTCTACTACCAAGGAGTACTTGCGAATACGCCAGCCTGGACCGCCCTTATCATGCTACCTGTGTCGCTATTGGCTGTCCCATCTGTCGTCGTCTTTACCGCAATTGTTGGCAAGACTGGACGGTATAAGTGGCTTCAAGTGGGAGGGTTTGCTCTAATGATACTGGGCCAAGGGATTATGTCGACGGTCGGACCTAACTCCTCAGCAGCTCAATACATCTGTGTTCAGATTCCTTCCGGGCTGGGAGTCGGTGGCTTGGTCGGCACTCTACTACCGGCATTTCAAGGCTGTGCGCCTGAAAAGGACCAAGCCGCGGCAACAGCTGGCTGGACATGGATCAGGAGTTTTAGCATGGTCTGGGGTGTGGCAATCGCGGGAACCATTTTCAACCAGTACATCAATAAATACACTGGAACAATCCAGGATGACCACGTACAACAGCTATTCAAAGACGGTAACGCATTTGCCCTTGCTACCAAGGAATTCGTCAATTCATACCAGGATCCTGTTCGGGCGCAAATCCAGAATGTCTGGACGTTGGCATACCGAAGGATCTTGCAGATTGGTATCATATGGGTGGGTATTGGACTAGTAGCGGCCCTTTTAACGAAAGATATCAAGATGAGAACCGGCCTGGAGACTGAATTCGGCTTTGAAGAACAAAAGAAAAAGGAAACGGCAGAGCCAGAGATGGTAGTCAGCGCATGATGCATCTCTTTTGTAGCCGGTCTTCATGCTTTGATGTCTGTGATCACCATATAGACGCCGCTTACCGATTGCTCTTCACTAGAAAAAAAATCTATTTTCTATCAAATGTTTTATACTATCTTAGACTATCTTAGCGTTTGTTCTGCTTGAAAGCTCTAGGTGTGCTCATTGCTTCAGACGGTAAAAAGCTTTTAAAATCAATGATTCTGCAGTTGTGATAACGTTGAAGTGATTCACTCAGCAACATAATGTACATTTGGCGCCTTACTCACGACGGTACAGGACGCGATTGGCATTCCGATGTCTAGTAGTATGATAAGTTTAACATTAAAGGGGTAGACGGGTTGTATCAGCTTCTAATTTACTTTGCTCTAGTGTAGAATGTTTCGTCTCACAGGTCCCTGACATTTTTAGACACAATACTGACGACTCTGTGTCTTCGTCCTCATCATTCTACGAGTATTATTTGCGTTACGTTCCATTATCTATATCCCTGGTCCTAATTCTAACAGCTGAATCACTCTTTAGGCTTCAATTTCTAATTGTTTCTGTGCCAATCGCAAGAGCCAATTTTTCTCTCCCACTTTGTTCTCGTACATGGAAAGAGTCTCAGAGACAGAGTCCTGGAGTTCTATGGCAGTCTTCTTCGCATACTCTAGCCCACCAGTAGCTTTGATTTCGTCCAGAGCAAGTTTTCGTACCTCTAGACTCAGACCGTTGCAAGTCTTTCGTTGCTGCAGGATGCTCAATAGCCGGCCTTGTCGCGGTGATTTAGAGCGAAGTGCGTGGATGAGCGGAAGAGAAATCTTGCCTTCGCCGAGATCTTCCGCAAACCCCTTCTTTTGCGCATACTGTTCCAGTGAACACAGTAGATTAGCTTAGAACTATCGATAGATTTCAAATAGAAGGACAGACCTCTGCACAATGCAGATTCTTATAATCGTCGCGTGCCTGGAAGAAACGACCGACAAGTTTCATCAGGAGGCTAGCGTCAAGATCTTTGTGTTTGGTAGCTTCGATGCGCATCAACTCGCCTAGGAGAATGAAGAGACTACCAGTTTCTAGACCCATAAGAGTCAGCGTCAATTATTAAGTAGCAGAATACCAGAGCACTTACTGCCATCGACCATAGTGAAGTACTCTTCCTCTGTAGGTATAACAGTATGATGGGTCCAATGAAGATCCATTCCTTGTCCGATGTGCCCCTCAATGAGCCTTTCTATCAGAATACGCAGAGCGCGAGGCATGAGCGCTTCTGCGGCTTTCAAAGCCTTGAAGATGAGCAAATTAGCCGCATTCAACGTCTGGTTTACTCCAAAAATGACATGTGTTGCTGGATATCCTCGTCTCATGGGAGAGTTGTCCTCAATATCGTCCAACCTTATAATATGCATTAGAAGCATCTAGCTCAATTGGGCGAAGTACTTACATCAGAGAAGAGCTATGCAGCAGATTTACGACGTCGCGAATGACTGCGAGGGACTTCTCGGGAACCTGATACCAAACCTCTAGTCCGTCTATGATTGCATTTCGAACTCCCTTCGAAGGCATCATTTCCAGATACGCTTGAGGCTGTATTATCATCTGGAGGTTGTTAGATTGATCACGATTGTCGTGTACCTTTAATTCACTTACTTCTTCGAATTGTAAGATTGACCATGTCTGGCTAACCTGTGACCTCTTGAAATCGGTTATGTCGTGAAGAGGAGGTTGCTGGTCAACGAACGCCGCTTCAGGCCTGTTCTTTATTCGTACTATCTTACTCAAATCCAGGTATCGGCGATCTTTGAGAACGACATCAACCTTATCTGCCATATCGGCAGCGTTGAGTGAAATAGGACGAGCGAGACTCTCATTGTCGTCAGAATCCGAGGTGTCGGAACACCTAAGCCATAGAGATGGATATGCATCCTCAGCGCCATCCCGGTAACGAGCAGTCGTCATGCTCCAGGCGAAGTTGCCCGCCGTTACGAGATCGAGTAATTCTAGCCACTGACGTGTCTTCTCCGTGGCGGCGCCACTTGCCAGGAAGTCTTCTTTCAAACTGCAATACTTATCCTCACGAGCCAGAATCTCCTTCCGAAGCCTCTTTTTGGCATCCTCCTTTTCCATGGAATACCATCTCATGAAGAGGAAAATAGAGTTGGCTATTACGCCGGTGCTACCATTGGCCTGGTAGTTGCTCCATTCTTTCTCCCACGAAAAGTAGTCATTCACTAGGACCCAGCTGTCGTAAGCAGCTGAAGTAATAGATGCAGTCTTTTCTTCTTCATCCGTGGTCAGTTTGAAATCCATGGAAAAGCACAGAAGGCTCATGGTCCAACTAAAAAGGCGTTGTTAGCAAGAAATTTGTGCCTCAAACGATGTTGAAGGTGTACCTACGGGCACCCTGCATCCACGACACGGAACTGGAGATATTTATCCAAAGCGATAAACTCCATATCTCTGATTTGGACAAAAACATCCGACATCTCTTTCCACAAGCGGAGACATTCTTTCGCTTGCTCTTTGTCAACTTCCATTAGCTCCATGACCATCTTGGCTTGTAATTGTCGCCGTTTGACATGGTCTTTCGACCCTGCGCCAGCATCTCCTCCCAGACTGAGGCCTTCCATAAGCTGGTGGTTCGCCTCCGCAAGCTTCTCAACCTGTCAGGTATGGTTTCCCTCAATTTATCAGAAACCAGTGTACGTTACCTGAGACTCATCCTTGTTTTCGGCATACTCGATTACTTTGACTTATCAGCACAAAACCCGATAACTCCCATGAAGTTTAAGATCATCCCTACCATCATCATGAATGTAGGCGTACTCAACCATGTACGTCGTGAGTGCGAGTCGGTCACTCAAAGCCTCACATGCACACAATGCAGTAAAGTTGCCCACCACCGGGTTGATGCAACCTACGGCATAGCTAGAGACATTTTTGTTACGAGCCGCACCAGCTCGAGCGGCCGTACTCGACTTAAAAAAGTCAACCTGACACTGCCATGAGCCTGCATCAGCGAGACGGGCTTCGCGATGGATTCTCGGGGTGAATCGACAGAAGTATTCTTCCCCCTCGTATGTGTAGGGTGGTAGAGGCAAAGAGTTGCGGATGAATGAGGTTGCGCCCATTGTTGCGGTGTGAAAGCGCTTGCTAAAGTCTTACGATACTGGCATCTGAGAAAATGAGATCTCTCGCAGTAGGATGACTGTTTTACTTGTACATCACAGCCACTCCAGAATTCGGGCTTAGTAGACTCAATTATCTCAACAACTTGAAGACATGAGTTCATGAGGTGAGACCAGCGGCATAGGTGGAGTGATTCTAGGCAGTCTTGGGAACGATCTTCCGGGAGAAAGTACTAGGTTGAGACATAACGCAGCCCTTTGAGAACGCAACATCCGAATATATATTGAATGTCTCAGGCGATCCGATCACCGGCAGACGCACGCGGGTAGACAATAAGAGACGTAAGTTGAATCCTTCTTGTATCTTGGATACTCTGTATCCTGATGTAGGCGTGGCTGTTTTTGATATTTGTTGTCTCGGGAAAGATCGAGAAGTGGCGTCAAACTAGCGGTTTACTGAAGACACGGTACGAGCTGCCGGGACACTGACAGCCTGTAGCGAGGCCTTAGCACAATGGCTTACGTATGCAACAGCGGCACGGATCGCAGTGTTCCCGGAGAGGGAGAAGCATCAACGAAAGTGTCTTAGAGCATCCAGGCTAGACAATGTCTCTACCTTTAGTTAAAAGCCATATGCGGAATTAATCGTATGTTACTGTTTTCAGCTGTTAGCTATTGATTTAGCTACTCCTGTTGCTAGTTTATCCCTCACTCGGCTAGCTTAGACTGAGGGTCGTTTCTCAGATTGGATTCAATATTCATGACTTGCTGGCCCACTGTTGGAATGAAACCTCAGGTATTGTCGTATGTCTAAGCAACTTGAACTATATACCGAAAAATGCCAAATTCAGGGTCGTCTGTTCGAGAAGAGAAGCTGATCACAGTTGCCAGCGACAGGTCTCGAATGTCCGCGACCTGAGCAGCAGAAGTAACGGCCGGAAGGCGGCCGAGTTGTGTCTCACATGATCTACAAGACCCAAAGCCTCTGAAAGAAATCAGGGATCGTCTGCAATCTCGCGCTCGCGCCTCGTATTCGCCATGATGGTCATGGAATTTGTTTACACCTCTGCCAGGGTAATAATTGTTAATT